AGAAAGAAAGAAAGAAAGAAAGAGGAAGGAAGGAAGGAAGGAAGGAAGGAAAGAAAAAAGGAAGGAAGGAAGAAAAAGGAATGAAGGAAGAAAAAGAAAGAAGAAAGAAAGAAAGAAAGAAAGAGGAAGGAAGGAAGGAAGGAAGGAAGAGAAAGGAAGGAAGGAAAGGAAGAAAGAAAGAAAGAAAGAAAGAAAGAAAGAAAGAGAAAGGAAGGAAGGAAGGAAGGAAGGAAAGAAAGAAAGAGAAAAAAGGAAGGAAGAAAGAAAAAGGAATGAAGGAAGAAAAAGAAAGAAGAAAGAAAGAAAGAAAGAAAGAGGAAGGAAGGAAGGAAGGAAGGAAGGAAGAGAAAGAAGAGGGAGAGAAAAAGAGAAGGGACATAAAGAGAAGGAGGGAGCAGGAAAGAAAGAAAAAATGGAGAAAAAGGTGTAGAGGGAAGGAAAGAAAAAAGGTAGAAAGGAAAGGGTGCGAAGGAAGGAGAGAGGGAGGGAAGGAGGGAGAAGGAGAGAATATCAATAGCAATAAGACTTATATACCGCTTCACAGAGCTTTACAGCCCCCTCTAAGCGCTTTACAGTGTCAGCATATTGTTCCCCCCCCTCCAACAACCTGGCTCCTCCTTTTACCAACCTTGGGAGGCTGAGCCAACCTTGAGCCGGTGAGAATCGAACCGTTGGCAGCGGGCAGAGCCAGCCTGCCATGCTGCCTTCTCACCACTGCGCCCACCGGGACCCCCTTAAGGTGACGCCTGCCTGAAAGATGACAACCAGCACCTTGAACCGGACAGCCGTGCAGCTCCCGCAAGAGAGGAGCCCCGGGTGCAAATCTAGACTTGCCCAAACCTTGCAGCGCTGGATGGCTTCTGGATACTGTTCAAGGGCAGCCCCATGCGCAGCGCATTGCAGCAGTCGAGACAGGGGAGGACGAGGGTGGGGTGACTTGTGACCGGGGCTTGTGGGTCCAGGAGGAGCCACAACTCACGCACAACAGGCATTCACCTGCTTTCTCCTCCACCAACACGCAGGCGGCTGCGCCCGATGGCCTCCCCAGGGACGCGGAGGGGAGCCTGGCCCGGATGGAGCCGGAGGCCCTGAGGCTCCGATGTCGGGAGACTTCGGATCGGTGAGGCTCCCTTCGCTGCGGGACGGGTGGCGAACCAGTTGAAGAAGCAAAATAAATAAGGGGAGCTGGCCCTCGGAGGCTCGGATGCCACCCACATGCCGGCTCTGCTCCCCTGGCATCACCGGGGGGGGGGCTCCAGGAAGAAAAGGAAGGGGGGAAATTCCCTGGGGGTGGATGGGAGGAATGTCTTAGTTGTGAGAGAAGGGACTGCCATGCTCTTTGCTCCCCCCCACCCACAGAAGGGGGTGAGGAGACCCCCTACCCACCCAGGAGGAATGCAGTGGACCTTCTTGTGGGCAGAGCTGTTCTGTGCCCCCCCCAATTGGGCTGGAAAGACCCCTCCCTGCTGCCACCTCCATCCCCTGAAGTCCAGCAGTGGGGAGGTCAGGAAGAGAAGGGGGGGTTCCCCTCCTGGTGGTTGGACCCCTCTCTTTGGGGGTTTTTTGAAGCGTGAAAAAAAAAAACACCAGGGATCTGAAGTGTAAAATGCAAAACGCTGAGCGTGGAATTTAGAAGGGGAAAAAACCCCCAAAATTGTCAGCCTTCTTCTGCACGTTGAGTATTAAAGTCCGAGTAAACCAGGGGGATAAAATCATATCCAGCCCCACCAATGCCAGCTTCCTTCTAAGCCAGGGCTAGTCAACCTTGGCTCTTTTATGACTCGGGGACTTCAACTCCCAGAATTCCTGAGCCAGCTAAGCTGGCTCAGGAATTCTGGGAGTTGAAGTCCCCGAGTCATAAAAGAGCCAAGGTTGACTACCCCTGTATCTAAACCTTCGGCTGGGCATATCAGAATGAAATCTCTCCATTTCTATCTCGGTTGAAAATATTAAATCTTCCTTCCGCAGCCAGTGCACAATCTAGAGGTAACCCTTGACTCACAACCACAACTCCGGAAAAAATTTCCATTTTCTGAACAAGGCAGCGGGTTGAGTGATCCGCGCCCGATTTTGCAAACTTTTATTTTTTTATTTTTTTGGCACGGCCATTAAAGGGATTGCGGCAATTGTTAAGCGACTCATGAGGTGGCTAAGCAAATCCGGGTTCCCCCATTTTTTTAAAAAAAATTTAAATCCAACTAACTAATTGCTTAATTAATTCCAATTAGCCAGTGGAACATATCTTGCCGTCAGAAGTGGTGGGTGCTTCATCTCTGGAGGTTTCTAAGAAGAGATTGGACAGCCCTTTGTCTGGAATGGTGTAGGATCTCCTGCCTGAGCAGGGGGTTGGACTAGATGACCTCCAAGGTCCCTTCCAGCTCTGTTATTCTGTTATTTTATCATCCCGGATCAATTAATCAGTGGAACAGAAAGTTTCCTCCAGAAATGGTGGGTGCTTCATCGCTGGAGGTTTTTAAGAAGAGATTGGACAGCCCTTTGTCTGAAATGGGCATAAAGTCTCCTGCTTGGGCGGGGGGGGGCTGGACTAGATGACCTCCAAGGTCCCTTCTGATTCATTTGGACTGTGCTTGTTGGAGAGAAGGTTGCAAACGGTGATCATACCACCTGGAAACCTGGCGGCTGTCACAAATACATGCCGGGTTCCCAAGCGCCCCAATTTCAAAGGGATGCTGGGACGGCCTTGAGTGAAAGGAGACGTTTTTCCAGTTGTAGCTTTGAACCATCACTCAACAAAGGGCTGTAAGTCAAGGACCTGGAGAAGTGTCTCCTTCTGCCTTTTTTTTCTTTCTTTCTATGAAAAGAGAGCTTGGTTTGTCCACATGAAACTCCTCCATCCCCACACCCACACCCACCCCGCGGCCTTCCGGAGTTTTCTCGCAGCGGCCTCAAGTGAACCCGTGTTTGCAAGCCGCTTATACCTGCCAGGACAGCACAGCTTGTACAATCCGATGTACAATCCATTTTTTAAAAACAAAACAAAACGAGAAAGGCAAACTTGCATTGGGAAATCCTGAGATTCCGGTTTGAAGAGGCAGCCCAGCTCCAGCGGGGGGGGGGAGAAGGAAAGGTCAGGGCTGACGCGGAGACCCCGGGCCTCTAGATTGGATTTAGCAAAATAGCATTATGGATCATCGCACAGTCAGCCAGATGTTCAGACTGGATTTGGCATTTTTGCCTACCTATTGAGTCCTTACCCAGGACCTGGGATAGGCAGATGTGGATGTTTGATGGTATAACAGATATCGTCGCAGGATGGAAGCCGTTCCTAGTAAGGCCGCCTTTTGCAATTGACTGATGGCGAATTTGTCAATGCCGATGATGGTGTTCAAGTGGTGCTCCAGTTGTTTTGGGATTGCACCCAAGGCGCCTATGACTATTGGTACTACCCTTGCTTGCCTTTGCCACAGTCTTTCTATTTCTATTTGTAGGTCTCTGTATTTTGTGATCTTCTCCAGTTCTTTCTCGTCTATTATTATTATTATTATTATTATTATTATTATTATTTGCCTGCAAGGAAGAACTGGTGGGATCATAAAACAGAGAAAGTCATAGAAAATGATAAAGTTAAACTGCTCTGGGACTTCAGAATTCAAACAGACAAGCACCTGCCACACAACACCCCGGACTTAACAATTGTCGATAAGACAATTCCTCCTCCTCACCTTCACTCCTCCGGCTTCTGACAGGATCCAGGCGCTGAAGGATCGTCTGCACGCTCTTTTGGTGGACCTGGAGGAGAAGAGCCAGGACTGCAGAGCCCATGAGGCACAGGAGATGGAGCTCATGCAGGAGTTTTTCCAAGCCCACAGGTAAGTGAGGGGAGGGGCTCCCTTTTCCCCTGGTGGCCCCTCAGCCTCTGGACCCTCCAGGGGGGGCCTTACGCCCTGAGAAACGTTCTCGGTAAACTGAGGAGGGGTGTGTGGGGTTAAGATTAAGCCCCCATGGACAGCAGCAGTCTACCAGCTACAACGTAGCATGGAGTGGCCAGGAGGGAAACAGAAACTGGGCTGTCCCAGCCTCCCACAGCTCCTTGACCCCCCCCAGCTGTGTTGGACTAAAACTCCCATCGTCCTCAGCCAGCACATCTGGGGGACACCAAATCTAAAGACCCATCCTGCTTTCTCTGGGTCCCACCGTTCCTTCCATGGGCAACGGGGTTCCCCGGCTGCTCTAGGTCCCCCTACTCGGCCCCCCCTTTGCCCCCCTCTCCTCGCAGCGCCCTGCTCCTCGCCTACCAGAAGGCCCGTCACAAGCAGGAGACCCAGGTGGGGCAGCTGGAGACGCAGGTGGGGCTGATGACCAGGCGCCAGGCCAAGCAGCGCCAGGCTCTCGCGCAAGCCCTCCAGCAGCTGCAGGGCCGAGTGTCCGCAGGGGCGCCGACCGCCCCCCCCCCACAGCCTCCCGCGATGGACGAGAGCATCCTGGACTCGCCCGGGAATTTGGAAGTCCCGTCCTTTTTATGGAGCAGAAAGTGAGGCTTTCTGGACACACACAAACACACCTACAGACCAGCAAAGGGGGGGCAGCAACGGTCATTTTCCCACAAAGACCCGTCAGCCTTGCCGGGTGGACCAGCCAGGAATCACGACCAGATGAGCCAAATCTGGTAAAGCTACTTGCAGGTCTGGAAGTACGAGGCTCCCGCTGTCATTTTAACAGACTGAGAGTCCGTGGAGATTCTCAGTCACCCGGGTCACGGTCGTCCCCAAATGTGCTTTTTTCAAGAGGCCACTGGACTTTCTTGTTTTTCCTTTGAAGATGTTTCGCTTCTCATCCCAGAAGCTTCTTCAGCTCTGACTGGATGTTGGGGAAGGGAAGGATTTATACTCCTTGCAGAGAGCTGGTCATTTGCCTTCTTTCAGAGAGTCCTTGAGGCCACCTGGAGGTTCACCTGTGTCCTCAGGGTCACCTGAGTGGTGCAAATGGGGGTGGAGCCTCCTTGGAGCTGCTGAAAGGACTGTGTGGTAGACTGGAGGTAGATGGTGTTGGATCTCTCCCCCTTTGTTGAGGGAGGGGTGTTTAGTTTGGACCTAGATGGCCTCTTGGACCCCTCTTTCAAACCATTTGGTCCTCTCTGTCCAGAAGAGGGGGAGGGGAGGGGGAGGAGGAGAAGTATCCGTATTGTATCCGAAGCAGAACATCCAGATTCAGCCATAGTTTCATTCCATACAGCATTAACCTTGTGAACTCTCAAGCTTCCTCCTTCCGTTATATATTCAAGATGGACAGTATTTAGTATTTATTTGCTACGTATATGTAGGGATGTGGGTCTATATATATGTTGTACATAGTATGTTTTAGGTGTGTGTCATGTATGTGTTTCGCTTTGAGAGCGGGCAACTAAATTTCATTTTTGATGTGTGCCGTTGTGCCCACAGTATAAAAATGACAATAAAGGTTATCTTATCTCATCTCATCTCATCTCATCTTATATCTTATCTATTGTATTGTATCGTATCATATTGTATATTATATTGTATCATATATTGTATTGTATTCTATTACTCTATTGTATTCTATGGTATTCTATTCTATTCTATTCTATCATATTATATTGTATTGTATCTTATCGTATCATATTGTATATTATATTGTATCATATATTGTATTGTATTCTATTATTCTATTGTATTCTATGGTATTCTATGGTATTCTATTCTATTCTATCATATTATATTGTATTGTATCGTATCATATTGTATATTATATTGTATCATATATTGTATTGTATTCTATTATTCTATTGTATTCTATGGTATTCTATGGTATTCTATTCTATTCTATCATATTATATTGTATTGTATCGTATCATATTGTATATTATATTGTATCATATATTGTATTGTATTCTATTATTCTATTGTATTCTATGGTATTGTATTCTATTCTATCATATTATATTGTATTGTATCGTATCATATTGTATATTGTATCATATATTGTATTGTATTCTATTATTCTATTGTATTCTATGGTATTGTATTGTATTGTATTCCATTCTATCATATTATATCGTATTGTATCGTATCATATCGTATATTGTATCGTATATTATATTGTATATTATATATTGTATTATGTTATGTTATGTTACGTTACGTTAATATTTAGAACATTATATGGTCTCCCAGCTCAAAACAATGGGATTCTAGACAATGTACATAAATCTTTAAACAAAAATATATATAAAAAAACCTTAACATCAACCACTAAAGCCAACTAAAACAACAGCACTAAATAACAATTAGGCCTAAAACAGGTTTTTCCGCCCTGGGGAAGGCTGCCCTCCCTGACGCAGAGGCCCCTCCCCGGGAAGCAGCCGGCTTTGACTGCGTCTCTAAAGGCCGGGGGGCATCGGGGCCAGCCGCGACAAGGGGGGAGGCTGTTCCGAAGGGCAGGGGCCACCACCGGGAAGGCAGCCTTCTGGGGTCCCGAAGGAGGAGGAGCCAGATTAGCTGGGAAGAGGAGGGGACCAGAAGCCGAGGCGGTTCCGGCCCGTACATTACAGTTCTTTGGAGAGCTGAGTTCTGGCTGTGGAAAGCCTTTTTTTTACGCATCGCTTAAAGATGCTGAGAGTCTGGAAAGAGTGCAGAGAAGAGCAACAAAGATTCTCGGGAGTCTGAAGGCTAAAACATACGAAGAACGATGGCAGGATTTGGGTATGTCTAATCCAGAGAAAAGAAGATCGAGGGGGGACACGATAGCCGTCTTCCAGTATCTCAGGGGCTGCCCCAAAGAAGAGGGAGTCAAGCTATTCTCCAAGGCGCCTGAAGGCAGGACATGAAGCAACGGATGGAAACTCATCAAGGAGAGAAGCAACCTGGAACTAAGGAGAAACTTCCTGACAGTCAGAACAATTAATCAGTGGAACAACCGGCCTCCAGAAGTTGTGGGTGCTTCATCAAGAAGAGATTGGACAGCCATTTGTCTGAAATGGTATAACCTCTGCTGGGAGATAGCCTGCTCCTGGACCTGGAAGCATCATTAATATTTACTATTATTGTTGTTATAATAATAATAATAATAGTAAAGTTGGAAGGGACCTTGGAGGTCATCTAGTCCAACCCCCTGCTCAGGCAGGAAACCCTATACCATTTCGGACAAAGGGCTGTCCAGTCTCTTCTTGAAAACTTCCAGTGTTGGAGCATTCACCGCTTCTGAAGGCAAGCTGTTCCGCTGGTTAATTGTTCTCACTGTCAGGAAGTTTCTCCTTAGTTCTAGGTTGCTTCTCTCCTTGATTTAGTTTCCACCCGTTGCTTCTTGTCCTGCCTCCAGGCGCTTTGTTGTTATTGTTATTTCCTTTATGGTGTTTTATATCTGTGTAAGCCGCCTTGAGTCGCCATGTGCAAGTAGGCGGCAATGTAAATGTTCTAAAATAAATAAATGAAAAATAAATAAATAAATAAACAAACAAATAAATAAATAAGGCCCGCATTAGAAGAGTTGGAAAAAAACCCTCATATAAGCTGAATAATAAGGACTCCTTGAGAAATGCGCATTCTTAACACAGATACAGAAAAACTGATATATTTTTTTTAAAGACTCTTCATTTGAAAGTGGTCCTTCCTGGGAATATGCCCTTTTTTTCCTTAAAAAAACGAAGCAATGAAAGTCCCTGTTCTAGCCTGCCTTCTCCAACCTGGCGCCCCCAGGGGGGAGGGAGGGGGGCTTTGGTCGGGAACTCGGCAAGGGCCGGGCTTCCCAGCACATCCAGCTCCCCACCTCGGCTCTCCTCCTCCCCTCCCCAGCTCCATCCATTATCTACTGCAACTGCCCCCTCCCCTTATTCCTTTTTCCACCGCTGTCAGCAAGATCAAAGGTGAAGGCCAGAGGCTTGATAAATATTCCTCCTGAGCAACAGAGCCCTGGTCCCAGGGAGAGGGGCGGTCTTGAACACCTGACCACTGGGTCCCTGAGGAACCCAGAAGGTGGGAGTGCTTGTGGGGTCTCTGCACCCCCCCTCGCTGGGCTCCCAAGTTTTTTGGGTTGTTGTTTTTTTTTTGCAAAAGTTTTATTAGTTTATAATATACGATGCAATGAAAATACAAAAGTAAATAGCGGAAAAGATATGGAAGGGGGAGTAGAGAAGTGGGGTAAGGGAGAAAAAAAGAAATAAAAAGGCATTGACTTCCAACTTCCTTTGGTGCAGTAAAGTAGAATATCAACATCAAACCTCAACTTTTTTACTTTTACAAAATAATATCAGCTAGCCATTTCGATAACATCGAGTCTTATCTAATTGGTAAAACCCAAAATCAAATTTTCATTTTTTTTTTCCCCACCTCAAGCACAAAATTCAGAAGCGGTTTCCACGTAACAATAAAAGTATTTGTATTCTTTTTTTTTAATCAGTACGGTTCAACCAACTGGGCTCCCAAGTTGATTGATTTTTGCCTTAATGAAAGCAGCCCACCTGCACCCCAACCCCCTCCCCAATGGAGGCTGCCTACCCAGTCCAGGGGGCTGGCAGAGAATGGGGGCTTTGTAGAGGGCAGAAAGCTGCAGGAGAGCCAGCAAGAGGCAGGCCTGGAAAGGGGTGCCCTGTTTTCCGAAATAAAATCATCCCGACAACTCAGTTGCATCACAACTCTGAAACTCGGCTTTTGCAACCTCTTGTCTGTTGAGAAAGCCACGCAGTCTGTCCTCACTGGTGCCGGCTGCCGTTTATTTATTTATTTTTTAAAAAAGAAAAATTAATGGAGGGCAGGTATGTACCTGGAGACTGAAGGAAGATGTTGCAAGACAAGGTTGCTGAGACTGGAAATAAAATTGTTTAAAGGGCCAAAGACACAACCTCTGTTGCATCAGACTAAACAAGGTGCCATCCAGCTGAAAATTAAGCTAGGCTCACCAACGAAGGGGGGGGAAGGTATATAAAGAGGCTCCATTTTCATCTCCTGATCTGCACCTGAAAATCTCAAGGCCCCGGTTCCTGGAATTAAAAGTTAACAGAAGAATAGAGTTGGAAGGGACCTTGGAGGTCTTCTAGTCCAACCCCCTGCTCAGGCAGGAAATACTCCATTTCAGACAAATGGCTGTCCAATCTCTTCTTGAAAATCTCCAGTGTTGGAGCACCCACAATTTCTGAAGTCAAAGTTGTTCCACTGGTTAATTGTCCTCACTGTTAGGAAGTTTCTCCTTAGTTCCAGGTTGCTTCTCTCCTTGATTGGTTTCCATCCGTTGCTTCTGGAGAAGAATTTGACCCCCTCCTCTATTTTGTGGCAGCCCCTCAAATACTGGATGACTGCTATTATGTCACCCCTGGTCCTTCTCTTCATCAAACTAGACTTACGCAATTCCAGCAACTGTTTTTTTTAACACGTTTTAGCCTCCAGATTCCTGATCGTCTTTGTTGCTCTTCTCTGTACTCTTTCCAGAGTCTCAACATCTTTTTTGCATCGTGGCGACCAAAACTGGATGCAGGATTCCAGGTGTGGCCTTATCAAGGCCTTGTAAAACGGTATTAACACTTCACGGGATATTTTGATTCTCTGTTCACGCAGCCTAGCCCTGTGTTGGCTTTTTTGTTACCTGGGTTTTTAAATGTCTTAATCTGCCCTTGGGAAGAGCTTTCTTCTTATGTCCGCGACAGTACGATTTTATTAT